TTTTATATATATATATATATATATATATATATATATATATATATATACACACACACACACACACATACGCACACACACACACACGCACACGCACACATATCTTCAGCCACTCTTTGGGGCATATTTTATCACTCCATACCCGTACTCATAGAGGAATCGATCGTACTCGGCCACACATGGGCTCGGTAGCCTCACACCACACATCACTCCATACCCGATCTCGTAGAGGACTCGGTCGTACCCGATCTCAGCAGAACTCGGCGTAACTGACCTCAAGAGGACTCGGTAACCTCACTTCACACATCGTTGTACCCGGCCACACAAGGGCTTGGTAATGTCTCATATTATGTCTCATCATACCCAACTGATTGATGGTTGCATAATAGGAGTCGTACCCGGCCGACTATAGCGCGGCTGGGTACGACTCCTATTGTGCAGCCATTAATCAGTTGGGTATGATGAGACATAATTCAAAATAAATTATACTCTCCAGCTACGGGATACCAACTGAAAACAATTTAGACTTTGGAAGAAATGCTATCAACAAGAACACACAATAACAGGATAACATCATTGAGAGGGCTTACAACTACCAAACCTTCAATACATGAATCATTTAGAATGAAGGAGATACTTAAACTAACTCATGCCAAGAAATGAGGTTGTCCTACATACCTTCATTGAAGAATTAACTACACTTCTATGGTGGTTAACTTTGCCCTTACCGAATCTTCAGAAGTTAACACCACCAGATGACAGATGTTACAACAAAGAATGCTCAGTTTCCTCAAGTTAACAGAACCGTCTTCTGATTTAGTTTAGGCTATTTTGAATCTTTAAAGGAGATGTGAGAGCGTATGGTGAATCTTGGTGAGTGGTACTCCTGGAAAATGAAAGGGGATGAGTCTTACTGTCTTTTAATATGTATACCAAGCATTGGAATCTCGCCGGGTCGTGCCCAGTGAGACAGCTAGTGAAATCTGGTCGCAATCAGTTGCCTTTTCCGTCTGGTAACGCGTCGCTATCTGATTGGTTGCGCTTAAACCCCTTATAGTTCCTTCAACTTCGTATGTGGGGTGTAACATTTTGTCTTTAACCATGCTAATGCATGCTTTAATAGCCTTGGCATTGCTAATATCATGGTTTGCTATGCATTAGTTATACATATGATAATACCAAATAGGTTGTATAACTAATACTTGCATTAGTAATATATAGATTGAAAAAGTGTACCAAACAATGGATTAATAATATTAAAAGCTAATGCATGCATTATTTTCTCTAATGTATCCTACCAAATGACCCCTTAGTTTCAGAATAACTTGATTGTTTAAATAATTTTTTTATAGAAAAACTTAAACTTTTAACATTTACATTACATACATTAATTAGTGTAGTTTAACCAGTTGTAGGCTTCTAGTTATTTGAGTTACCTTATTTTGCATGTTATCATTTAACAGTGCACGCACTACTATAAATATTTGTAACTAGTTTTTCGAATAATTTGGAAGTATAAAAGAAACATTTACACTTTATTATATAGGCGTTTGGACATGAATTTGGTGATACTAGAAAAAAAGAATTAGTATTTAAAATTAAGTTGAAAAAGGATATTTAAAAATTTAAAAGCCTGTCAGATTTGGAAATTTATAGGAGTATATAGTATTAGCAGGAGATGAGTTTTTATGGAGAAATTGATATAGTGGGTGTTTGGCTAAGCTTATAAGCTGGTCAAACTAGTTTATAAGTACTTTTCGGCTTATCTACGCGTTCGGTAAAGTTAAAAGTGCTTATAAGCCAAGTGCTTATAAGTCAAAAATAAGGCAAAAGCCATAAACTGGTCACCCCAGCTTATGAAATTTTATCGTATAAGCACTTTACGTTTGATCAAGACTTTTACTATTTTATCCTTAAAATATTCCTTTTTATAACAAAACTCCTACATCGATACTCACTGCCTCAAGTATATTATCTAAGCACAATTGAATTTNACGCTCTTCCGATCTTTAAGATAAGCAAATTCTCTATTCCTTTGCATATTTATATCTATGTGATTGTGTATTAGTCTTTGAACTGTATGTAATAAATGAGGACATATCAATTTTTTTTTGTATTGCTTTCTAAGTGTTGTGACGATGAAGACAGTGTTTGTTTCTCTTCAAATATTATGTCCTATTTAGGTTTATTTTTTACTGAGAAGCTTTTTTATTAATTATTACAACTTATGATTATATGCTTATCATAAAATAAATTATATTTATCTTAAAAATCATCTTATCTAAGCACAATTATATTTAAAATAAATGACAAATAAAATATTTTGTATTTGAATTGATCTGGAATCTAAAATTTTGAAGAAATTACGCCCTTATAAGCGTAAACAGTTCTAAGGTTATTTAAATCATTTTAGCAGAAAAAGAGCTTATCAACACTTTTTTTATCAAGTACTGCAGCAACTTATTATCAATTTCAGCACTTGTATCCAAACACGTAACTGCTTATTTATTAAATCAGTTTCAGCACTTAAAAATGCTTTTCAGCACCTAATGCTTATCGGCTGATTCAAATAAGCTAATCCAAACGGGCTCTACTCAATTCAAAGGGCTGAGACGTAGTGTTGACTTATAACGGGGCATTTGCATCTACACCCGCTTTTTGGGTCACGTTTTAACTTGTGCTCGCTTTGCAAAAAAAATTGCAAACGTACCCGCTTTTTCGCGTAACTTCAGCATACGGGGCTGAAGTAGCAAAAGCAATCATGCAAAACTTCAGCATTCTAGTAGACAGGCTTGAAGTAGCAAGTGTACTGAACCAAGTGTACTGAAGTTTTTGTTTGTAATTGTTGAACTTAAGCGTAATAGCTGAAGTTTTGTTCTCTATTTGCTGAAGTTTTTGTTTGTAATTGCACTAAATAAGCTGAAGTTTTTTTGTCCTAGATTCATTAGTTTTGTCAATAAGCTTTTTCAAAAACTTCAGCAGAAGATGCTGAAGTTATTTAGTTCATTTGTAAAAACTTCAGCACTATATAGGCTGATGTTTTTGAAAAGGCTTTCTAACATACTAAATAAATAATCAGATTGCCAACAGTATCTAAATCATAAATTTTGGAAACAATAAACGTGAAAAGAACAGAATTATCATTATCTGCTAACTTACGTACGTGGAAATATTCACAAATTATTGTCTACTAACTTACGTAATTATTTTTTATAATTTATTTTTAAATAATCTAATAAACATATTTATGGCAATCATCCCATGAACTGAAGTTTCATAGCAGCACCAACAACAGCAGAAGAAAGAAGAAGAAGAAGAAGAAGAAGAAGAAGAAGAAGAAGAAGAAGAAGAAGAAAGAGGAGAATGAGGAGGAGAAAGGGGGCTGAAGTTGTTTAAAATGTGTGTACAAGTTAAAACTTTTTAAGAAAATAGGTATAGGTTAAATGGGGGCGACCAAATAGGGCACCCCGTGCAATTTTTATACTTATAACTAACCAGCATATTCCATTTTCACTACTGTTACAAGCTTTCAACTTTACACTGAAACATACTCCCTTCAATTACTCAGACTATATATTTTGTTTATCGAAAATTAAACTGTATGAAGTTTGACTAATATTTTAAAATATATTTTTTATAATATTGATATGAGAATAATTATAATTTATAGTACTTTTTATATAATTTTTTAAAATTTATATTTTAAAATATTATGTTGAATTAATCTAATTTAGCTTCAAAATTTAGTAAAAGACACTCGAATAACTAAAATGTACTATCACTTAAATTGTTAGCACTTTAAACTTAAAAACTCTCCCTTTGCCTGTGTCTGACACAAGTCACAATTCTCAAATGAATCATTTATTACCAGCTACCTTCTTAGTAGGAGCAGCAGAACCAGATTTTTAAACTTCAACTCTCAACTCTCTCTCTCTCTTTCTCTCTCTCTCTCTCTAAGTACACCCACATAATTCGTAATTGTATTTATACTGCAATTAAGAGATTAACATATAGATGGCAGGTGGGTACAGAGCTGAAGATGACTACGATTACCTGTTCAAGTTGGTCCTAATTGGGGATTCTGGTGTCGGCAAATCTAATCTGCTTTCTCGATTCTCGCGAAACGAGTTCAATCTTGAATCTAAGTCTACTATCGGCGTTGAATTTGCTACCCGTAGCATTCGGGTCGATGATAAGATCGTTAAGGCCCAGATTTGGGACACTGCTGGTCAAGAAAGGTTCTTTTTCTTTTCTTTTTTCTTCTCATTTTCATCTAATTTTCACTGTTATATTATGCTAGTCACGTGATAACGATTTGGCCTTAGTAACAAACAGCATGCTAGGATTTATTGACTGCAAATATTAGTTTTAATCTAGCACCCGAGGGTGTGCCCTAGTGGTCAAATGAATCCAAACAGCAGGTAATTTCTTCCCATTTGCCCAATCCTTGGTGGGTAGGCCGAAGTTACCCGATAGTTGTGCTGGTGGGAGGTAGCAGGTATCCGGTGGAATTGTCGAGCTACGGGTAAGATGTTTCGGGCACCACCGTTATAAAGAAGAAATTAGATTGAATCGTGCCTTCGAGTCCTGTGTCCTACTAACTAAGCCGGGTATTTCAGCGGAGAAGGATAGAGGGGTGGGCCGAGTTTTGAAGGTTGTGGTTGGTCATAAACGGAAAAATAGGTTGAATCTCGTTTGATCTACGAACGGTGGTAATCCCATTTTATAAGTGAGGCCAATCAACTGATCTCATTCACTTGAATTTTGTTTATAACGTTGCTAATTTGACTTTCTAAGTTGGGGTTGTTCAGGTTTTGTACAAATCTGAAATGCTTAGTTTGTTAAGTTCCAAAAAGAAAAAAACAAGTTACTAACTTTTTTTGAGTTTTTGCAAAATTTGAATAATTCGTAGTTCCACAGTTAAGAGAGAAAGTTTTGAAATTCAATTGGAGATATATAGAAGATAGAGTGCCTCTCGTCTAGATTTTTTCCTTCTTTTATAGGGTCCTTATTTTTTTTGTTTTTTGATAACCAAGAATTCCCCAAGAACCCGTAGCACACTGTTCGAAACTCGGTGGATAATGGGCCGCTCCTCTACCCTTCTCTACTTGGGGCATCTCCAACCTTCACTCCAAATCTTTACTCCAAAATAGAGTAAACTAACTCCAACCATTACTCCATTTTTACTCCAAAAAAGAATATTCTTTTTTATATTCTTCTCTCTCTTTTATATTATATTATTATCTTTTATTTAATATTTATTTTCTTATTTCCATTAAACAAATCCTATCTTGTATTTTATATTTGCACCTTTCATATTTGTGATGGTTATAATTTTTTTTATACAATTATAACTTATAATAAAATTAACTTACAATTTTACATAAAAATAATATATGCACGGAAATTAATTTATCAAAATTATACGCCAAATTAAGATGTAAAATTAATATTAGAAAGATATTACATAAACATAATTAGGTATATATAATATGATAGATTAAAAGGGTTAAATAATAGGAAATAGTGATGGAGTAGATGAATAGTGTCAATTTGGAGTGACACTATTCACCCTCCAAAATGGAGGCAAATTTAGAGGTGGGTTGGAGCAAAATTCCTCCATTTTTGACTCCAAAATGGAGTTTGGAGGCAAAAATGGAGTAGGGCTGGAGATGGCCTTAAATATCATGCTTTTAGAGGGTTCTTTTCCATGAGATTTGATTCTTATTTTCTTGCCCCGTCTTTGTGGTACCTTGTTTTAGTGTGTATAATATCTATCTCTAAGAAGGATGTGAGAATAGGATTGCACAGTCTTGCGGGTGGTACTATAGAGTTGCTTTTGGTAGTTAGTTAGCAAGTATACAACTTATTAGGGACAGACTTTTCCTCTGGGTCAATGCCTCCAGTAAGTTAGTGACTATGGGTTTCTTTTAGGCAACGACAAGTGTAGTTGCGTATCAAGTCATCACTGGTTGACCTGAATTTATTTTTGACTTCTCTAAATGACGACTTTCTACTTATTTTTCTTCTATCATGGTAAATTAGGCGTGGGAAACAAGTGACATCTGCACAGGGAACTTCCATATAGGTGTGATTCTTTTTTATCACAAAGGCTAATTTTTTTTTTTTTTTTTTTTTTTTGAGATTTTAAGGTATCAAATATGGATATTATCTTATCTCTAAGTATGGATAACTAAAGAATGGAGCAAATTTAGCTGGTTGTCACCATTATGTTTCTAGCAGGCTGGCTGGAACAGTTGGACATTGCGTTTATGGTTACTAGTCTATATTCTCCTAGCTAACATCATCTCATTGAATTATTAATTGACTCTTGCAAGAAACTTTTCTTCTTTTTAAAGAACGGGTACCATTTGCACTTTATCTATCAGGACAGTCGACTGATATCTACTTCAGCAGCTTAGCTGTAATCTCCTCATAATGCCATTTTTAAGTGGTGGTTCACTGTTGGAAAGTTACGCCTAGATGCTAGACTAAAGATGTTTTTACATGTATGAAGATGAGCTTTGTTCATGTGCTTGAAATAGTTAACTGCCATCCTGAAAGAACAGAAAGGGGATTTATTCTAAGAGTTCTTTTGTTGTGATTCTCTTAGGTTACCCTTATCTTGCTTGCTTTCCTTCTTTGCTTTTTTATTGTTTAACCTGTGACTTTCTTCTGCCAGCTAGCCTAACTCCTGATAAGTTCATTTTGGGGTTTGATTTTAAGTATGAAAATTTATGTTTGAAGTTCAATCTTTGGTTTGAACTCTGTTCTGTTCTCTTTGGTGTGGTTAAATTAGCATCTTATTAGATTAGTGGAGACTAATTAGAACTTTCTTTTCCTGTTTCGGAGCAACAGGTACCGTGCAATTACAAGTGCGTACTACAGAGGGGCTGTTGGTGCATTAGTAGTGTACGATATCACTCGACATGTCACATTTGAAAATGTGGAGAGATGGTTAAAAGAGCTACGAGACCATACCGACCAAAATATTGTCATAATGCTTGTTGGGAACAAGGCTGACTTACGTCATTTGCGTGCTGTCTCGACAGAGGATGCCAAGGCGTTTGCTGAAAGAGAGAGTACCTTCTTTATGGAGACTTCAGCACTCGAGTCCTTAAATGTTGAGAATGCCTTTACTGAAGTATTGACCGAGATATATAAGGTGGTCTGTCGTAAAGCGCTGGAAGTTGGGGATGATCCTGCTGCCTTGCCAAAGGGGCAAACTATTAATGTTGGCAAGGATGATGTTTCAGCTGTGAAAAAAGTTGGTTGCTGCCCCGTCTAAGCAAAAGATTAAGAAATCAGTGAGTATTGACTGCGATACTCTGCCTATACTTCCGAATGCTTATGCAAGCAGCAAATGCTCCTCCTTGGTTGCATTCAGTTTTGAATCTCTTAGGAAATATAGCATTATGCTCAACCTCATCTGCAGGATGATGGCTTTACTTACTTTATTCGACATCTTGAATTGTTGTATTAACTTACCTTTAGTTTGTACACTACTTTGTTACGGTCTTTGATTTTTGCATCTCTCATCATTTTCATACAATTCATGGCAAATGTTACAAAGAGATTTTCTACATGCTTATGTATGACATGTCGAAGGACACCTAAAACCCTTTGCAGAGAGATTTTCTAAAGAAGTAATATTTCTTGGATTGTTTGGTTAGTTGCCACTTGCCAAGTTATCTTACAGGAGAAAAGAATTTTGATCCAGTATTATTTGAGGCTCGGAAAATGACATCACTCGTATTGTATTTTGAGAAGGAAATCAAGGCTATTGCATTTTTTATAGGGAAAAATGTGATGACCCGCCATGTCATCATGCCATATAGGTGCCATTTGGCATATATTAATGCCATGTGGAAGCTTACATAATAGGAAGGCTAGCATTTGTAAGAAGATTTAGAGAAATATGGATATTTCCTTAGGAAGACCCTAGATCCTTATGGATTTGCTAGGAAAGTCCTTAGAATATTCTAGGCTTGTAAAATTTTTTAGAGAAAGGACTTACTTGTAAATATTAAGGACTTGTGGAACAATTATTATTTACACATAGCCCCTAGGTGATTAGTATAAATAGGGGGGCCATTCATTTGTAATTCATCAAGCAAACAATTCAAGTTCTCTCTAATACAAAGCTTCCTTTAACAATTCTCTTGTGTTCTTTCTACCATTCTCTTAGCGATCTTGAGTGTAGTAAGGCTGACTTGGCATAGCAAGAACGTGAGCAAGTTGTGCAAGACCGTGAGCGAGTTGTCAAGTGCCACACGTGTACTTAGTTAACAACAAAGGACATGATAACGTGGTATCAGAGCGAGGGTTTCAACTAAGGGAATGGCGAAAGACGGAGAAATTAACGCTGCCAACACCCAAGCCAACGTCATCCAGGATGATGCTGGCAAGAGCGGCCGTGGCAAAAAAAGGAATGCCACCAACAAGAGCTAGGAGGTGCCACCCGAGGTTGTGTCAAACGAAGGGCTTACATCCCAAGAACCATCTGCCACTGAGGCGAGCGAGGATGAAGTGGAGGTCCTGCCCGAGGACGTCTCGCTCGGTAAAGAGTGGGTGATGAAGATGAACGCGGGGATGGACGCCGTGGAGATCTTTGGCCAACGCTTGGGGAAGGTGGAAGGCACCCTTAGCGTTCTTGAGGGGCACACTCTTGAAGAGATTGAGAGTATCCGAAATGACTTGGAGGGACGTACACAGACCGAGATGGAACTAAGGCAAACCATCACTGCCTTAGAGTGCAGACTCGTGGAGGCTTTGAGTACTATCAATGCTATGAAGGCAAAGATAGATTCACTCGAAGAGCATGTCAATGCTGGCGTGACCGAGGCAGCCAACAATGTTATGGTGAAGAGAGAGGCCAAGATCGAGGCTCCCAAACCCCCGGTGTTCAAAGGTGTTCGTGATGCACAAGAAGTGGAAAACTTCCTTTGGCACTTGGAGAACTACTTCAGGCATGGAAAAGTGAGGGACGACGAGTCCAAGATCAACACTGCGGTATTGTACCTCTCAGAGACTGCCATGCTTTGGTGGAGAAGGAAGATGGCCGACGTGGATAAAGGTCTATGTACTATTAGCACATGGGATGAGTTCAAAGCCGAGTTCAAGCGACAGTCCTTTCCAAACAATGTCTTGTACGAGGCAAGGCAAGCTTAGGGAATTGAAGCAAACAGGGAGCATACGTAACTATGTCAAGGAGTTCACTACCCTTATGCTTCAAATCCCCAACCTGACTAATGATGACTTGTTGTTCCACTTCATGGACGGGTTGCAAAATTGGGCTAAGCAGGAGTTGCAACGCCGACAAGTCACTGATATAGACCAAGCCATAGTGGAGGTCGAATCATTGATGGATTTCAGGCATGACAAGCACGACAAAGGCAATGGCAAGGAGTCAAAGGTTAACAATGTCAAAGGCGGGGGAGATCGTGGCAAAGGCAAGGAGATACATCAACAATACTCCAAGAATGGTCATCAGGGCTACACCGAGAAGAAGGCACAGGCGAGAAGAAGGGATGCTACATATGCGGAGGGCCGCACGGCTTCAGGAATTGTCCCGACCTAAAGAGCCTCAGCACCGTTGTCCGTGAACGAAAGGAGCAACCGCAAGGAGAGAGTTCGGGAACCGCATAGTTGGGTATGATCGGATTATGTGGTGCTGTCACAAAGCAAGCTATCCAACCTACCGAGAATGGCAATCAGTACGTGGATCTCACCATCAACAACAAGCCCGCTTGTTCAATGGTGGATACTGGAGCAACTCATAATTTCGTGACTGAGGCTGCCGCAAAGAGACTAGAATTGAAGCTTTCTCCAACCAACTCTCGCGTCAAGACCGTGAATGCCGAGGTACAAAATGCTCGTGGGGTAGCTAATGGAGTAGGTGTCAAATTGGGAGCTTGGAAAGGTATGACAAACTTTACCGTAACCGTTATGGATATCTTTGACATCATACTGGGGCAAGAGTTCTTTAGACATTGTCATACTTTGATCGACCCCTACCTCCAACGTCTCTTGGTTATGGAGCGAGAAGGAGCTTGCATGGTACCTACAATGGCTATGCCACACTGACAGATCCAAGCACAAATCTCAGCTATGCAGGTTGTCAAGGGGATCAAAGAGGGGGAGCCAACGTTCGTCGCAACCATTGCAAGTCTAGAGGAAGACAAGAGTTTTCAAGAGACAGTGCCGCCTTGCATAGAGAAGTTGCTTGAGGAAAACAAAGATGTCATGCCCGAGGAGTTGCCTAAGCACTTGCCGCCTAGGCGAGAGGTGGATCACAAGATTGAGTTGGAGCCAAGGGCTAAGCCACCTGCATTTGCCCCATATCGTATGGCACCGCCCGAGCTAGAGGAGCTTAAGAAACAATTGAAAGACTTGCTGGATGCTGGTCACATTAGCCCATCAAAGGCACCTTTCGCCGCACCAGTATTGTTCCAAAAGAAGAAGGATGGATCGCTGCGCTTGTGCATAGACTACCGAGCACTTAATAAGGTTACAGTGAAGAATAAGTACCCGATCCCGCTCATTGCTAACTTGTTCGATAGACTTGGGCAAGCCAAGTACTTTACCAAGGTGGATCTTCGAAAGGGCTACTACCAGGTTCGCATTGCGGAAGGGGATGAGCCAAATACAGCATGTGCGACGAGATATGGAGCCTTTGAGTGGTTGGTGATGCCCTTCGGATTAACCAATGCACCGGCCACATTTTGCACCCTTATGAACAAGATTTTTCATCCTTACCTTGATCAGTTCGTGGTAGTCTACCTAGATGAAATAGTCATCTACAGCAACACCTTGGAGGAACACACGGAACACTTAAGGAAAGTTTTCCAAGTCTTGCAAGAGAACGAGCTATACATCAAGAGGGAGAAGTGCGAGTTTGCACAAGCAAAGGTGCACTTCTTGGGCCATCTCATTAGCAATGGCGAGCTACGCATGGACGAGGCTAAGGTATGTGCTATCCAGGAGTGGGAGGCACCTACAAAGGTAACGGAGTTGAGATCCTTCCTTGGCCTTGTTAACTACTATCGCCGATTCATCAATGGCTACTCAGCAAAGGCTGCACCATTGACTGAGTTGCTGAAGAAGAAAGCCATGGGTCTGGACAGAGCATTGTCAAAAGGCGTTTGAACACATTAAGGCAACTGTTACAGAGGAGCCAGTCTTGGCATTACCCGACTTTGCCAAGACATTTGAGGTGCACACAGATGCCTCAGACTTCGCCACTAGGGGTGTCCTGATGCAGGATAAGCATCCCATAGCGTTTGAGAGCCGCAAGTTAAATGAGACGGAGCGGCATTACACTGTGAAAGAGAAGGAAATGACTGCCATTATGCATTGCCTTCGTACATGGCGACATTTTCTGCTCGGGTCAAGGTTCGTGGTCAAGACCGACAATGTGGCTACTAGCTACTTTCAGACGCAGAAGAAGCTCACACCAAAACAGGCTAGGTGGCAAGACTTCTTGGCCGAGTTTGATTATGTGCTAGAGTACAAGCCGGGCAAAGGTAATGTTTTAGCTGATGCCTTGAGCCGGAAAGCCGAGCTTGCTGCCATCACTTCAGCAACTTGGGACATTCGTGAGGCTATAAAATAAGGCATGCAACATGATCCGGCAGCCAAACAACTTATCGAGTTAGCCAACCAGGGCAACACGAGACGTTTTTGGGTAAAAGACGGCCTATTGCTTACCACGGGTCGGCGGGTCTACGTGCCTAAGTTTGGGACATTAGACGGCGGATCATAAGGGAGAGTCATGATACAATGTGGGCTGGTGTTCCAGTCCAACGTCGCACCAGGGCCTTGGTTGAGTCCGTCTACTATTGGCCACGCATGCGAGATGATATAAAATGTTATGTGCAGACTTGTCTTGTATGTCAGCAGGACAAGGTTGAGCAACAACAGCCCGGAGGACTTTTGGAGCCACTACCAGTTGTAGAGCGTCCATGGGAGAGTGTGACTATGGACTTTATCACTTGCCTACCAAAGTCCGACGGTTATGGTACTATTATGGTGGTCGTGGATAGATTTTCCAAATATGCCACCTTCATGCCCGCCTCACCAGGTTGCACAGCCAAGGAAGCCGCCAAGCTATTCTTTAAGAATGTGGTGAAGTATTGGGGATTACCGAGGCATATAATCAGTGATCGAGACCCCCGCTTTACTGGAAACTTTTGGAGAGAGTTGTTCGACATACTTGGCACAAAGCTGCACTTTTCTACTAGTTTCCACCCACAGACGGATGGACAAACAGAATGAGTCAATGCCTTACTAGAATGCTACTTGAGGCATTATGTAAGCGCGCATCAGAAAGATTGGGCAAGGCTCCTAGACATCGCCCAATTCTCTTATAACTTGCAGCGGAGTGAGTCCACTAGGCGAACACCATTTGAGCTAGCCACAGGCCAACAACCACAAACTCCACATTCATTACCAGCTGCGTTCGAGGGAAAGAGTTTGGGGGCTTATCATATAGCCAAAGGATGGGAGGAGCAGCTTGACACTGCTAAGTCCTACTTGGATAAGGCAGCTAAGAAGATGAAGAAGTTTGATGATCGTAAACGGCGTCCCACGGACTATAGAGTTGGGGACACGGTCATGGTGAAGTTTAACCC